TTGTCAATAAACTTTTTTTAAATCAACAAATCCTCAAAAAAGATGGTGTGGTACCAGCCAAGACTGATCCTCCAACTTATAATTGGAGTATTAAATGCAACATATAACACAACATAATGCACTTTTCAATGCTTTGCCAACATAACAACAACTTTGTCATTTCTCAACATAAGATGATCTGAGTAAAATGCTTGTTGTTTTTCTGGCATGGTAAAAGTATTTGAGCTATGTTTAGGGATATTTTTTTTTTCCAGATCTCAGGTGCTTCAGTGGATGAGACTATAGTGGGAGAAGTAATCCTGTCTGTTCTCAAAGTGACAGTGAAGAAACCAGTGTTGTATACATGCGTGGCCTCAAATAAACACAGCGCTGGAGCCAACACTGTCAAAGCAAGCGCAAGAGTTACAGTTGCAGGTACTGTAACATTTGATTTTTATCTGCTATTAGAAACAGCCACAATAACCCAATGCTGTTTTTGTCTACTTTTCTTCAAGAGTTGTTGTCTTTGAGCGGCTACTGCTTTGTGTTGTGTCAGCTGCTGGTTAGTCGTGTTCCTGTTGCTTCAGCTGTTTGTTGCCTACTTTATTTGGCCAATCCTGAAACACTCCCTGCAGTCGCCTCAAAACAACAAGTCAGAACGCCATTCCCTGTCATCGACCACACACACCATTATCCACCTGGCTGTTCTCACTATGACTTACAAAAAAACAAGCAAAATGGTAGTTTTGCTCTTTTTAAAAGAATTTATTTACATCTGTCAACTTTCTTTTGTCTGTATCTCTTTTGTCATCTTGCCTCTCCATCCACAACTGGTGTCGTCTGGGTTTTGTCGTTTTCCTGTAGAGTGGAGGTAAGAACAATACTGTTTTTTTTTTTTTCATATAAAAGGCTAAATAAAACAAAAATATTGGTGGTAATTTTTGACGGTGTAACTTTAAAAATGTCACCCCGTAGTGAAGTGGTTGTGCTTTAAATACAGTATTTAAAAATATCAGGTTAGGTTAAATATATATATTTAACCTAACTACCCTTATGTTAAGTCAGCTTGGTTGCCAATTCTTATTTTTCAGTTTGGGCCAGCAAACACCGTTAGCCCTATAAATTTAAATGGTCTCCTAGTAGCTCGTATGGTAAATTGAAACTTTTTTTTTAGAATCACAGCACATTGCCAGTGGCAACATCTGGGTTATGTAACTGCAAATAAAGACATACCTATGCTGACAGATATGAACAAGAATAACACAGCAGGACAGTGAAATAAAGAAAATATTGGCATATGGCTGCCCAATGAAAACTGAGCTACATAGGAGACAGTAAAGTGCAGGTCATGAATAGGTTCAGTCAATTTTACTCTAATTTAATAACTCATGGCCACATTGAAACTGCAGAAACACAGTGACTGGTAATAAAAGAAAGCAATAGCAAAGAATGCATTTAAAAGTCACTGTTTACTTTGATGGTTTGACTTTAATGGTATCAGTCTCCCAAAGAGGTGACATCTGGAGTTTGTAAAGGATGAAGTACAGGGAGGCAGCTGGGAAGTTGGCCAGGAAAGAAGGCGAGCAGACAGGCAGGCAGTGAAAAAGGTCAAAATGAGACATAGGGATAAACGTGAAGCTTATCCATTCTCGAGGAATAAAAATGGGACAAAAGGAAAACATCACATTAGGAAACTGAGAAAAACAAGAATACAGGGAGGTTGGTCCACATCCGACAGGTTTAAAGTAGGCAACAGATATTTATTCAAGCAACAAAGAAGTAAGCAGGATGCAATCCAAGTAAGTCATCCACAACCTCCTTCATTATCTACATCTGGGTCACTTTAAAAGAGATATTTTAAGTGGAAAAAAAACTGTTCTCAGTACTTTTAATGAAAGGCTCTTACACATTTACTGACTGCAGGCCAAGGAGGTAAAATGAGGATAGCTCTGGAGACAGTAACAATTTATTTATTACTATTTAATCTTTCTTTGATCTTATCATRTGAGCCAAAATTCAATTAGGCAAGAAGGATAACATCCAGATGGCATAAAACCTCCCATTTTAAACAGTCACTTTCTTATTCTAATAAACCACAAATTCCACAAATAAATAAATAAATAAATAAATAAATAAATAAATAAATAAATACTCCATTGCCTTTTATCTTGCTCATGTTTGATTTTGTTTAAATCCCCAGTCGCCCCTGAAATTACTCAAAAGCCTTCTAATTTTATTTTTTTGTAAGAATGTCAAGTTAAAGATAAAAACTGGAGTGAGTTGTCAGACACCCTGGTTTGAAAAAAAAAAGCCCAGGTAGCATCCAGAAATGTCCGAAAACATTTAAAGGCAGAAAACGCACAGTTTTTGCCCACCAATGGAACACAGACAGTTAAGGGGCTAAGCTATTAATAAAATTTAAATGTGTRTGACAGTTATGTATATGATGGTCACAAGTTCAGATTTTACTCTCTGTTCATCTCTTTTCAACAGACTCTACAAAGGCGTGACAGGTTATTGCAGTGCTTATCGAGGAGATGTTTGCCGCACGATCCTGCGAGATGATACTCTCGTTTTCTTCAACGCCTCTCTCTCGGACCCCGAGAACATGCAAGAGTATCTGGTTCAGAGCTGGTGGGTGGAGCTGGAAAGGCTCAGCGGGTTGTGTAGCCCTGCTGCGCGCTCTCTGCTGTGCCACTCATCCTTCCCTGACTGCAATCCGTCGGGTTTAGGACCTGCCCCCAAACCAGTCTGCAGGTAGCACGACTCACTTAGAATAAAGGGATGTATAGGGTGTTAAGTGTAAAATGAAATAAAAAAATCAACTAACATATTTTTCATTATTTAGCAGCCTTTGTTGTTGGTGCTTGGCTCATGTTATGACATCATCATCCTGAGAGAAAAGCAACCGCTCGTGCTCTGATCATCCTGCGACAAACGTCAACAATGGCCGCTGCTAGCCACCGCTAGCTGCTGTTAACACTGCTGAAAATAATTTTAAAATCTAAATTTGAAATGTGTTCATAAAAACCAATATGGGTKGTACCTGTGGTCCAAGCMGTTTGAAGGGCAGCTCAGACACCATCCTTAATGGCAAGTTTGATGTCCTGTAGGGAGCGGCTGCTATTGTCTGAGGAGGATGACATCATAACGTGAGCCAAGCACAAACAGCAAAGGCTGCATTCCATTTCAAAATGCCTAAATGTGAACTTCAGCATTCAACTTCAACATTTAAGGTTTAACTTTTACATTTACATTTAAACATTTAGATATTGGATTTAATATTTAAATATATATAT